TCTAAACGAGGTGCTTAATGAGACCATACTTCGACGCGCACCCATTATTGCCTCAGATTCTTTTGCGGATTTCTTTAAAAGTATTAACTTGTCCGAAAAAACATGAAGATAGATTATGTAAAGTCTACCTAAACTATTTACACTATGTGATATCACTGTTTGAGGAGAGCATATTCTAGCTCTTTTCCAGTCCCCTTTTTGACTTTTATCTGAAGTTGAACCAATGATGGTCTATTCAAAATACTTTTGCACAACCTGAGAATTAGTGCGGTAAACCATAACGTAAACCATTCCAAAATCACTGTCAAATTTGACTTGTTTGAAGGTCATAACTCTTTTTTAACAAATTGGGCATTGCTAATGAAAGGTAGGATTTTAGCAACCTGTTTTTTCAATTAAACCTATAATATCAGCTTTGGTAGGATACTTAGCGGGAAAAGTAATAAAAAACATTCAAAGGTTAAATGTTTGACTTTTCAGACGGCGATAAGTTGTTGTGTACAATTTTTTGTTAGTGTTCATTTATACTCAAGAACTTTTCACTATCTTTTATATCCTTGAATCCGCAACACAGATTTATTTGAATCCGCAATACAAACTTCTGGAGTCAAAAAAATTTGGGTGTAGTCTTATAAGCAAAAGAATTTCCCGAAGCGCGTCCGGAGAATTGTACCAAAAATCTCAGGTACTGCAGGGTAGTTTTCAAGATTTTTTTTTTAAGTTTGAGTTTTCAGAGGGCACCAACTTGTTGTGTATAGCTTTTTGCTAGTGTGCGCTAAAGCAGAGGAACTTCCCAGTAGCTGCTATCTCAATGAACTAACAATATCAGATTTAAGAGGCTAGTTTTCGAGAAAAGTCGAAAAGATCCACAAACTGTCAAAAATAAGAACTTTGACTATTTCGAGGGCCATAATTTTAAAAAACTGGTCGTGGCTACTCATGCAGATGAGGTTTTCAAAGGATTTTTATTCATTGAACTCAAAAACTTATATTCGAGCGAAATACTTTTTGAGAAAACCGAAAAAAAAGTTTTAAAGCAAAAATGTGGGTCCCCTACACATTTTCGAAGGCTCTAAACGGAGGGGTTTAGGGGAGTATGCAGGCAAACAGAGGAATAAACGGCTCTGAAAAGATACTCTTTTTCTGAAAATCAGGCGGATTTTTTAGTAAGAACCTATTTTTTGCCAAAAACGAAAAAATTTTCCAAAGTGAAAAAAATGAAAACTCACCCAAACAGATTGGTAAACATACAACCAACTTGAAAGGCTACTTCCAGGCTAAGTTGGCCAGGAAAGCTAAGAAAATTAGGAAAAAGGAACAGATAATAAAACAAGGTAGAGATGAGTCCAGACGTCCAGATGAGTCTGTGGACAAAACTGTTTACGGGAAAAAAGCCTAGTAACCGGTTGCAATGCTCGTGCTTATCGCAAGGGTAAAAAAACGGATTAAGACTCCAAAACTTAACAATGCTATGTTTTTTTCTCTAAAAACTAGAGAATAGCGAAATATGCATAGAGAAAGGGAGTCGATGACAAGATCTAACGATTGAAAAATTATTTTCACATTTGAGTGAGAAACTTTTCAGAAATTGAATTACTTTGAAAAAAAAATAAAAACTCCTTATGCTGAAATTTTTGAACGCAGTAAAAAGGGGTAAGGCAGAAAGAGATTAAGGTAAAAAGACTAGCAGATAGACAATTAAGTATTCGGTCTTTTAATTGGCACAGCGTTTTTTTTTTCAAATTGCAAAAATAGATTTCGAGAAAAAACTAAATTTTCGGCAAAGGGTCAATTTTTTTAACAAGTCTTAGTATTCTGATCCTGAACACTTTTAATGGACCCATTTTTAAAATGCAAAAAGCTAATGAAAAGCTTTTAAAGACATGCTATACAGCAACATCATGGGTGAACACTTCTAATGAACACTCTCATTTACGACTTAGATT